AGATTCGAAACCGAGCCAGCTGGTTCTAACCGGTTCCCGGAAAAAATGTCCACTTTTAGTCTCGGGCCTCATATTTTTTTTTTCTTTTATTGCCATGATTTTCTAGCTACATTATATTTTTGGATTTATTTATAAAATACATAGCACCTCGTCTAGCAAATTTCCTCGGCATGAGATTTTCGAATTCATCATGGAACTGTTAGTAAATTGCATGTATGAAAAAGAATTAAAGGCTTTTTATAGATGGTTAAGAAAAAAGAAAAGAATATTTAGAAATATGGAAGAGACATAAAGATAATGAAGAGGCTCTATCTTTTATTTATTTTTGTTAACATAAATTTTTTATTCAGTCCCAATTCTGTTGAACTCATTTTTCTCCATACTTATTTTCAACACCTATAAATTTCGTTAAATTTACAAATATATCAACTTTTTAACAATATATTTTAACATTTTTATCAATATATCCTAAAAACCTGATTTTTAGCCAAAATAAACAGAGGCAAAATGATATAGACTTTGAGTGCCCGCCACTTTAAATGTAATTAGTCCCAAATACACTTTCATTTTAGCAAGCAACTTCTATTTATGGGAATGCTAATAATAGTCACATTCATAATCATGTTGTAGAAATAAGAATAATGGCACCTGAGATAATATAAGGAAGATTTGAATTTACGAATATTGTTGACGATACAACATAATTTTTTCTTATTAAATTTTCAGCTCCAAATTTCAGCCTACATTTAAGGGTCACTTTGTATCATTTTCTTGAATCTTTAATGAACTTTATATTCACTTTACAAGCAAGTTACGATTACTTTATAGACATGATATTACACACATAAAAACCACTTTTTGCATTTTATGATGTAAATTTTCGTTGTAAATAAAGTTATTTTGATTGTAACTCTATTAAAAATAATTCACTCATTTGTCAACTGTTAATGCCAATATTAAGTACGTGTAAGAGTATGAACTCTATCGTTGATAACATTTCATAATATAGTCGTGGTTCATCAATTAGTTCAATAAAATATGAGCAAATAAAAATTCCAAGTACAAATTTAGTCACCACCCATTTAATAAAATTGAGCACGTGCTGAGTTTTAATGAGAAAATTAAAACTAATTAATCTAGTTCTTAATCTAGTTCTTAATCTATTTCTTTCAAATACCCACTATAAACATATCAGTGATCTCATTTTATAATACCTCGGGAGCTAATGAAACTATTTTAGTAAAATTTAATTGTCTCAATTCCCGGGGGATCACACCAAAAATTCTAGTTCCTTTTGGATTTCCTTCTTGATCAATCACAACTGCAGCATTGTCATCATATTGTATTATCATACCGCTGTCACGTTTAAGTTCTTTACAGGTACGAACAATTACAGTTTTTTTGCTTTTTTCACTCTTCTCAATATTTTTACTTTGTACCCTAGTAAGCAAATGTCGTAACTTTTCATCACTATTCATTTAAAAATTGTGCACGTATTAGTCTTTGAAAGGAAAAATACACCTCGTCTACAAATGTGGAGTGTGTTGAAAATAGAATTTAAATCATATACATGTGGTCATCACCTAATTAAACAAACTCTTCAACTCCAATTGATAATCAGTGACAAAATTAGTGACGTGATAGAAATAATTAAGAAAATACTAACAAAATTAGCTACACTAAATGTCCATTCACATAGTTGAACAATTAAGATTCTTAAAGAGCGGAAGAGAATCATAAAATTATGGGGTACTTAACGAAAATTCAAAATTTTATATGGAACAATTTAATAATCCAAGTGACAACATAATTTTTTGAATTTCCTATAATTTTGAACAAGAGTCATAACAACCTTCACAAGTCAAAAATCATATAGTATTATTTTTGAGTAGTATTGACTAGGAAAATGCTATTTGCACACCTGCTTCGATAGTATAGTATACACTGGAGTGTCAACCCCGAACGTATTAATAATTATTCTAATGATATCATCGGAAAATTTGAGAAATCTTACATAACATATCCAGCTTGGAGTTTCGGAGTTTCAAAAGAAACAACAATAAAAACAGCCCACAATTTTCTTGTTGATCCCTCACTTTTTTAAGATTTATTTTTCTTTAAATTCATTTTTAACCATACATTCCTTTAATAAAATAATTTCACGCTCAAACTTATATTTTCCCTACTTTTTTGATAAAATAATTTTTTAATAAAAAATTGCATTTTACGGAATCTATTCTTAAAAACTCTAAAAGTCTATTCTCAAAAAACTATAAAAATCAGGATTATGCTTGTGAATGCAATTTAATTGTCTTCATTGCTGGTCCCAATCCCAAACCCGCGCCCACGTACCACGCCAACCCATCCCACATTCCAATAAAATGTACTTATCTGCTTATATAATTTTCAAAAGCACAAAACAAGTAGAGAAATAGATGAGCAACTTGCAAGCATATAATATGCCTTTTTATAAGGGAAAATTGTAGTCAAGGTACCAAACTTTTCGTTTATTAATAAATTTTGCCCAAACCTTTAGTTTGTGCCATCATGAGTACCAAACCTTTAAAAAATTCGCAATTCAAGTCCAGATTGATGCTTTCCGTTAGCTTGACCCCAATGACCTCGAAAATTAAACAATCTAATAATTTTAACCAATTAATGCAAGGGTAAAATTGTAACTTTATAATTTTAATATTAAAAAATTATTAAAAAGGAAAATAAAAAATAAAAACCCCATCTCCTCCTTCAATCTCTCCCAATTCCCTAAGCCCAATTGATCTTATCTCCATCATTTCAATATCATTCATTGTTGTTTGCAAGCCTATTTCTGCAACATCAGTAGTCACGATAGAAGGACCCTCCTGTGATGTTGCAGCCATGGAAGAAATTACTCCGAGGTCAAAAGTGGCAACGAAGAAGAAGATGGAAATGAGTATGAATAAATCGATGGGTTTTCATTTTGATAGTATACAGATTTTCTGCTTTAGCTTATTTCGGTTCAGCTAGCAGTTTTTGGTGAGTTTCAGATTTGGGACATCTCGATTTTCTATCGAGTTCAAGCTTTGGTTTGTTTCAAGTTTCTTGTGTTCGATTGTTTCTCTTCTACTTTGAGACGTCCGAGCAAGGTTTACATGCTTGTGTTCTTGGTGTTATTGGGGTTTTCGGTGGACCTCTTTTACTGTGTGTTCTTGGGGTTTTCGGTGAACCTCTTTTACTGTGTGTTCTTGGGATTTTCGGTGAACCTCTTTTATTGTGTGTTCTTGGATTTTTTCTAGATTGCAGGATATGTATGTATTGTGTATGTAGAGGTGCTACTTGATTAATTTTTGAATTTGAATTTGGTCAACATAGTCTATTTTTCAATTTTCTGCATTTATTCAGAGCTGGGTGACTTGGACATTGCAACCTGTAGGAATTTTTGCAGATTTTTTGGCACGTCTAGTGCCTTTATCCTACTTGTTTTGTATGCTATTGAGGAGAAATTGTCTTCAAAGCTGAAAAAAGCCTCAGCGGTGGTGCCGGCAACTGCCAACTGGGTAGAGGTGGTTTTGATTTTGGGGTAAAGGAATTGGAAGAGATTGAAGGAGGAGATGGTTTTTATTTTTTATTTTCCTTTTTTAATAATTTTTTTATATTAAATTATAAAGTTACAATTTTACCCTTGCCTTAGTTGGTTAAAATTATTAGATTGTTTAATTTTCGTGGTCAACTAATAGTTTTTGGGGTCAAACTAACGGAAAGCATCAATCTGGACCTGAACTGCGAATTTTTTAAAGATTTGGTACTCACGGTGGCACAAACTAAATGTTTAAGCAAAGTATGCTAATAAACGAAAGGTTTGGTACCTTGGCTGCAATTTTTTCTTTTTATATAATCAGAAACACATGGAAAAATAAAAAAGAAAAAGAAAAAGAAAAAAGTTGCAACTTGCACATTTCCTTTAAAACAACCACTTTGTCTTCATCATCATAAGGCCAACTTGCAACACTTGCTGTTTGATTCCCATCACATTTTGATTTTAAGGTACCCCACCCACCCCTTTCCCACTCCATGCATTGCTCAGATTTGAAATTTTTAGGTGGGACTATTGGACCATTTCTTGATTCTTGTATCTTTTCTGTATCGTTTCAATTTTATCTGATGTAATCGAAGGCATGAATGGATGATTATGTTCATATCTTGTAATCTTAGGCCCTATTGGATGCACAATTTTTTTTTTAAAAGTATATTCTTAAACAGTGATTTGACATCATTTCAACAACACATTTTTTAATAAAATAATACTATATGTAAATCCAAAACTTTACCTTAATTTTTAATCACACATGTTTTATCAATATACTATTCAAAAATACATTCTTATAAAGTTTTTGAATGTTGTACAAGTCTTTTCATTTCTCTGACCCACTTAAATAAATTGTATGGAACGGTGGGATTGATTGATTAATTCATGTTTGATTCTCATTTTCTAATATTCGCTTTTATTTTAATTTTTTTTAAAAGATCATTTTCAACCATACATTTTATTAAACATACACATTCATTAACTTTTATTAAAATCTACTAAAAATATGATATTATCAAAATCAAACAGGGGCTTAATCCATTCCCAGATTCAAGCTTATCTAAATCTCTCAACCACCTTAATCACTCGCTTCTTTAGAGGTCGACCATACGAGATGGTCGAAAGTCAATCCATCAATATACTCCCAAGCCACATTTCACAATTCACGTTCAGTTCATACATTTTCATGAAATATTGCCATTTTCATTATATCATCCAATAAGTCCAAAGAACTATTTCATCGTACATAAATATCATCTAACCTACTAATGAATCAAACGAGTACTTGAATTAATATAAAATACAACAAAATGGAAAAAGGAAAAGTTGGTTTTGATTCTTGTAAGTTGATTGATATGAAGAATGCCCTTTATTTATTTTTATTTTTTTTAATAGATGTCATGGAAATCAATAACCCACAATTTACAAGAAAGTATTAGAAGACAAAAATAACAAATTCCACAACCTTGAAAAAATTATTACATGTTCCCTGAACAATAAAAACCAGACATCCAACATGTTACATACATACACATGTATAGTCGAAGATCAACAAGATTTGTGATTTGTTCCTCTAAACCCCAAAATGGGTTTTGATTTATCGATATATTTGATGAGAAAATCATTGCACAACTCTATATATGCACACATAACTATGTTTATATGTATGTATATATAGAGAGATAAATAATTTACTAAACGTGGTTGTTTAACTTATATATGTATAATTATAGAGTTCTCTCTGAGGAAATGTTTCGTCTGGCAATATCCTCGACGATTTGAGCTAGGGATTGGAGGTTACATTTAACAATAGTGTCCACGAAAATGCATGTTTCTTCCCTGGTGTTACCTTGTGGTATATCGACAACGTATGATTCAATGACCACCGTGCCTCCGCCGCCGTTGGCCACCGGGTGGAGGGTGGTGACGGAGCGGTAGTTCGCAAGGCGGTGATCGCCACCAACGACGCTAAAGCTCATAACATGACGTTCGTCATCGAGGATCTCGAGGCGCTCAGTGCTGCTGACGGCTGGGAGACCCGATATGACGTGGACCTCCCGGAGAGTACCAACGTTTCCGTTTCCGACAATGACGTTGCAGCTCTTGACGAAGTGTTTGTAGGCCTGCGGGTTGTCGAAGCGACGGACGAAGGACCAGACGGTGGAGACGGGGGCCGAGATTTCTTGAATCACGGCGGAGCAGCACTGGTAAGGGCTAACTGTGTGGGTGTGGTAGCGGGCTATATGGTCGGGGACTTCGGTGGTGCACGGCGTCCATCTTTGGTGCTGTTGGGCTTGTTTATATGCGGCAGCGGCGGCGGTGGTTGTAGGGGTATCCTTGATTCTTTGTAGTATAAGATTTGAAGGCATTTTCTTAATCCCAATTAATCTCGAGTTAGAGAGAGAGATATGAAGATAGGTTTCTCGTCCAGCTACAGCTATATATAAAGGGATAGATACATAAATTTTTAAAAAATACAAAATATGACTACGTAGTTTTTCAATGAACAAATCTTTCTATACTTTTATTATTATTAATTAATTTTTTATGTCAAAATTCTCTGTCACAGCTATGGCATGATGTAATCACTTGAAAAGAAAAGAAAAATGCAGTTTTTATCAATATATCTTACGTAACGTTTTTACGATTTTCAGTTTCTTAATCCGAAGATGTTTTGTACTTTAATCATTTCACATTAAAAAAATGTATATGTTATGCGATCTATTTATCATTATCGATGGAAGAAAAATACAAAGTACTAAAGCACAATATTTCGCTTCCAACTATATTACAAGATTACACATAATGTAAAATACTTAGGAAGGGTCATAAAGTAATACCTTCAATCCAAACATAACAATACAAAAAAAAATCAATCTAGAAACTTATTTATTCTACGAAAAACATGAGGTGATCGTCTTTCACTGATGATGCTAACGAGTTCAAAATCAAACATGACGATTTTTTGTCTTGAGAGTTTAGAAGTTCTTTGTAATGACATTATGGGATTAAATTTAGATAAAGACTTTGAAAAATCTCTTGTTAATCTAAAGAGCAATGCTACATAAACAGGCTGCACACGTGTCGATGTAAGATTGGAGAGTTTGAAAAAAAAATTTTAAAAAAAATCCAACAACTTGCTGTCACATCAATCTGTTTTTTATATCCTATTTTTTATCATGTTCGCTTATCGTTTCTTAGCCCCCGTTTGACCCCCATTTTTGGTAATGAAAATGGGAGGAATAGTGTTTTGTTGAAAAAATGAGTGGTTGAAAAAGAAGGAAAAATTTTCGATTTACGTGTAATATTATTTTATGAAAAATTGTGTGGTTGAAAATAGGAGAGAGAAAAATAGAATATAATGGAATGTAATTTAATGGGGATCAAACAGGGGCTTTAGATTATCATAATTAAAATAATTTTCACTTTAGTTGACAAAGAAAAAAGAAACATAATTCTATAAATAATATCACTTCCCAAATTGATATTGTCCCTCTAAATTTAGTAACTTTAGGGCTTGTTTGATATAGATTTTTTCAGGAAAAAATTTGTGAAAATTGATTTTTTGAAAAATGTGTGGTTAAAAAATTAGGAAAAATAATGGGTTCAAG